AAACGTGGACATCTCCTTTTGGGGATGAATCGCCTTGCAAGTTAAGAGGGCAAGGAATTTTGGCTCCCCGGTGTTGAATAAAACGACCCGTGGCTTTCCAAATGAAGGTATTGGATGGTAACTCGGGCAGGCCGAGACCCATACTGTAAAGCAGTGTTTCTCAACCTTAGCAGTTTAAAGATGTGTGGACTTCAACTCCAGAATGCTGGCTGGGGGACTTCTGGAAGTTGAAGTCCATCTTAAAGTTGCTGCTGCCGTAAAGTCTTCCTTGAGACTACAGGAAAATTGGCTTGGTCCTTTGGATAGGTTTCCACTCCTTACTGGTGGCCAGGCTGAGCACTGAACATACTCTTAGCCGCTTGCACCACTAACACGGCCCAACACACAAATTCCATGTAAGCTCAAAACAGTAATTAAGGGCAGCAGTGTGTGTTGTCTTTTGGCCCAGCAATAGTCCCAGCTGTTTTAGACATGGGGGCGTGTGGTTTTTTATCACTGCAAACACCTCTCTTTCTGCTTACATACTTATCTTCTGTTTGCTTTGACTTAAGTAATGATGTAAGTTTGAGCGAGAAAGGTGGGTTTAGTCTTCCCAATGTGCTTAACTTACATCATTCATTCATGGGTGGGCACAATACATTGCACCAAAACCAAATAGGCTGAGTTCACACCACCTGCTAATCCACTAGAAAAACAGATTGGAGAAGGTTGTGTGTGAATACAGCCAACTAGATTTGTAACAGACCTGGCTGAGTGGGTGGTGACAACACAGCTGTTGAACTAAGCATTAAGGTGTTGCAATAATAATAACTTGCAGTACTAAAAGTTAAGAAGTGGGCAGGAAATAAGGGATTTAATAGACGCTGTCCTTCTCTGCTCAAGCAGCCTCTACATGAACGGGGAAGCACGGAAGACAGTAAAATATCATAAAAGAATTGAGGGCTTCAGAACTGTCCTCAAGAGACCAGTGATAACAGAAGATCCAGAACCAAATAAGTCCATACCTGCACTAAGGCTGGGTCCACACACCTTGCTAAACTACAGTTTGTCCTAACCATGATTGGCAGATTAACCCACCATTGGCTAGTTCACACATTCCATTACCTAAATCCAGTGTTTCTCAACCTTGGCAACTGTAAGATGTGTGGACCTCCACACCCCCAGAAATCTCCCCCCCGCCCACCCCGCCCTCCAAGCTTCTTGCTGTGGGGTATGATATGGTTTTTGCATTCACTTCTCTATGATGATCTTTAAACATTATTTACTCACATAAGAAT